ATACAGGACATATATTTGAAAAAAGGGAAAGATTTTTTTATATAAGAAAGTAGAGGCGGGTAGCATTGTGTTGTTTTCATGCATATTTGTTTGTGTGAAATGTATACCAGTTATTTATTCTTAATGACAGTCTGCATTTATTAACTTCATAATAAGTAGAATTTGAATTTATTTTGTATCACTGTCATTAGAACATAATACACTCGAAGGTGAAAACTATTCATATAGTAAATCAAAAGAAAGGTTCGTGCTGACTGACTTTTTCTTTATTGCATATACATGTAGGATGTTGGTAAATCATTTGTGCCGCTGAAACATAGAACATCGCAACGCCTACATCTTGTACGATCTGTGATCAGACTGAGCCATTTCTTCGGAAAATATTCCTCATAGTTGTAGATAGTTCGACTGTCAAAATCATCCCTACACCTATCGTCTAAGATCAGATATTAAATGAATAGTGTCGCCTTTACACTCATTTTTGGCTTGGGTACATAGTAGTACCACCAAATAAAGTTGATTTTTTTCTATTTACGAAGAATTTTTAAATATTCCTTTTAATTCATTAGAAGAGAAATAAATTGGGCTGCAAAATATGCTATTTGATTTCACGAAACTGTCCTTATTTTGATTGTACTGGCTTACCGAATGCGTAGTCATAGGTTTGACAGAAAATGTCCGATCGCGCTGTAAACCGCTTTTTCTAAATGAAAACGTGAATAAAATCTCGCTCAACTATAGTGAAAAGATGGACAGAAGGTCGGGTCCCATCAAGCTTTTTTTCTTGTCACGGTCTCTTTTAACCTTTTGCTATCACTGCGAGCCAACATGAGACTAAGCAAAATCTTTTTTTACCAGAAACAGACCTCGAAACACGGAACATAAACTCGTGTTTCTAGCCATAGTTTATTATTGTTCTAGAGAAAAGTTTATAAAACTGCTTCTTCTCTAGTTGCGTGTTTTGGCCGTAAAATTAACTTTTCTCGCCTAAATCAAAACGAAAAACTTTTTTAAAAGAAATTGTTTTAGTTGTTTTCTTTTCATTTATTTGTGATTTCCCATATTTCTTACAATTTCTTTGATAAGTCTGGTGGCTGGGATGAATAATGTTTCTGTCCAGCAGTAAGGCCAATGCCTGTGCTCATTTTTATTATGTTGCGTTGCTTAATGTTTAATTTGTAACATCAGTAACAAACCCCGATCCCTCCTATTAGTATTAGTGTTATTCCTACTATTGTGCTTATTAGTAAGACTGTAGTATGATTTTGTGATCGGGTGGTGAGAGGGTGTCCTGTTGGAATGCGGAGAGATGTGTATGCAATACTATCTGATGTGTTTACTGGTCTTAATAGATAATTGAAAGCGATAATAACACTCTTCTGCCTGCATCTTTTATATCTGTCACGATTTCAATCTGATAAAATGTCTCTCATAGAGAAAAAAGGAAAGAGGAAACGTATAATTCATATATTAACACATACACAATGAATAGAAACAGATGAAATAACAGAAAAAGAATAAGATGACCGACGGCGAAGACCAAAAAGCAAAAGGAGGAAAAAAGATAAACATTCACCTTTGTTTAACAAGGTATATAATAGCACTCCCACACCGTACTGACCACACACATACAGCTGCCGAAGGCTACTGAAATAGTCGAAATATATTTTGTTAAAAATAAAAAATTTTAAAAAATTTATTTTTATTTTATCAACAAGGTGTTTCAAACAGAACTGTAAGCACACAAGTTTTCTTAAAATAAGGGGAATATTTCAGGACAAGAGCACATACTCATCTAGCCTCACCCTCTCCTCTTACTCTTGGGTATTCGGGCTTAGTGTTAATGAGGGTGAATGTGAATATGTTTGGAGGTGAGTAGACACTACTGCTATCGTAGTTAGAATGAACGAAAGTTTTCTTATTCGTTGATTTTCGTTCATTCCCATTGGCCTGTTTTTCTTTGCTTTGAGAATTTTTAATCTTTTTCTTAAAAGAACTGGAAAAATTCAGGACAACAGTTCAGACCCATCAACCCTCACCCGCACTACGCATGAAAACAACTTGTTTTTGAAATTCATATAATTAATAAGTTAACTACCGCTGTTGCAGCTAGTGTCGAAAATGCTTGTCTAAGACATTACGCCTGGTAAAGCTATGGATCACCAGGATTTCTACGGTCTAGAGGTTTATGAATACACACCCGTAGGTGTTCGTAATCGACATTTAAGGCTGCACTGCCGTTAACTTTCAGATGATAGCTTATGTAATCCTCAGCTGTCCACGATGGATTTATTAGTTTATAAGAGAGGATACTGTCGATACGATCAAAATAGGTATCCATTAGATCGATTGTACCAATTCCAAACCAATCTTCATTGCCACAACAGCAAGCTCGTTTATTTCCCGTTAAAATCCACGGTTCACCGTTGGGTGAAATGAAAGGAAGAGTTGATACAGATGGGAAAGGCGTGAAGAAAATAGCGTCCGGTCGTAAACGAATAAAATGTGTGTATTTAGTTCCGGTACGAATGCTGTATTCCTTACGCATTCTGTTGCATTGTTTCATTCCATCCAGTTGCTGTAGGAATCCCTGTTTCAGCGATAGGCTA